TTGGCGCGGTCGACGGACTGGAACCATTTGCCGAATATAAGTTCGCGATCCGCGTTTGCCGCGTAATCATTAAGATAAGACGATAAATATATCTGCAAATAAAAAGAATATATACAGTAATTAAAGGAATGTATGTACAGTAAACAAGAATATATATACAGTATACAGTAATTATGTATAAATTTATAATTTTGAAAAATATGATTACAGACGGAGGGTTAAGACGTTAAAATATCAGATTTATATAAATTCTAGATTTATATAATTTCTAAATTTATACATAATTATATATAAGTTTGATACTTCATCGTTTTAATTTCCCGTCTGCAATCTCAGAGAAAGAGAATGAACTTTCATTTGTGCTAAAAAGACTCAGATTGCAGACGGAGAGTTAAATTTGAGGAATATTTGAGAAACGTCGAGAATGTCAATTCTTCATTAAATTATTTTTAGAAAATTGTAAAAATATAAAAACAATTATATGTAATGTGTAAAAAAAATTATTCTTAATACATTTAATATCTAGAGACGCCAAAACAATTAATAAAACGATATTCTCGAGTTCGAAAAAAAACGCGACTAGATTGAGTTACGTTTCGCGCAACCGCGGGATAAATCAGTCTTCGTCCCCTTCGTGCAGGACAATTTACGACGGATAATTTACGACACGTTGGAATATTCTGAAAAATTGTATGCCTCAGCCTTCTACCGGAAGTACGGTACGAGAACTGCAACGATGATGACGACGGCGGCGGTTCCTCGGTTCGTTTGGATAACCGAAGCGCCGCCCCTGTGCGACTGCGTATATCCATCATTTCCGTCGAAGAGAGACAAGGAAGAACAGGGGTAAAGAAGAAGATAAGGACCTCACTTTCACAAGGGATGAGCTCTGCGTTAGGATGCGCGAGAAAAGGGTCGAACGACCGTCGTAAGATCGTTAAAAGACCTCCGTTGCAGATTTTAAGTACAGAAAAAAAAGTCACCCCTCATTTTTCGAGAGAGAGGAAAAACATATATCGACAGAAAAAAAGATTATTGCCAGTGTTGACTTGTGATTGGCCCGCCGAAAGGCTTGAGAGAGCCATCTAATATCGTGGATGACACCTTCTTATATGGATACCGAAAATGGTTCCCTCAAACAGTTGAGTCTCTTTCTTTCTTGCCCTCCTCATTTCTGTCGCACTTCGACGCAGATAAATCGAGCCTCTTGAAAAAACACCGCGCGAGTTGTTGCGAGCTGATATATGAACGCCCGATTCATTAAGCGTTGCCGATAAAGTATGTGTTAATGAAGAGAGAGAGAGAGAGAAAGAGAGAGAGAGAGAGACTTTTTCCACGTGAAGAATGTTTATTTCTGCATATGTTCATGTATTACGATAGGTATAGTTGAATATTCGATTCTATTAAACCTGCGCAATCAACAGCGAGTATCATATTTCGCTTAATTGAAAGATCACAACTTAATTAACATAATACTGTCTATATCATAATTATATCATTGAGATGTTCATTTATACCTTTCTAATTTAATAAATCATTTTAATCCTTCTATGCAATAATATCCGAGTATTTATATCGAATTTTAAACAATATAAAATTTCAATATTTTATAACAAAAAATTAGCATTTTTATGACATCAAAATAAAGTCATTTTGAGTCACTTTTACATTTTTGACAGAACTTTCCTTACAGAAATCTAATACTGATCAATTATTTAACTACTCAATTTTATTACCGAAAGATAGTAATTAATTACTTACTTGGACTAATTACTTATTCAGTATTAAAAGTACTGAACAACAGCTGTGCTCTTAAAACTTAAAATATATAATTAATTACTGTCTTTCATTATTGGCTAATAATATAATAGATTTCTAGCAAGGGTTTTAAAACACAGTATAGTAAAAAGGTGAAAAATTATGCATTGTGATAGCTGATTAAGATGTGCTTAATTATCGTGCTTAAAGTATTTAGTTAATTAAAATTGCCAATGCATTAATCATTGCATAGGGAAGAGAAAGGATGGAATATGTAGATGCACTTCAAAATAAAGGGACCGCCAAGTGCCGTTCTTCTTAATGGCTGCGGCGACGTTCGTTATTTCATTATCATTTCTTCGTACAGCTTAAAGTAGCTTGCAGCTGCTTTGTGACCGATGAAGTGCTTCGACCATTTCCGAAAAAAGTGCGAAGAGAAGAGAGGGAAAGATCTCGAGTCCATGCAGCTTTCCTTTTCTATCTCTCTCTTTTTCTGCTTTTTTCTCTCACGCCTTCTTCGTTTTCCTCGACCGAATCATCGGAGATCCTCAACCTTCCAGGTTAACCGCGAGAAAGTATTATGGCCGTAGACACGCCTCTCCAAACAGGAAATTAGCTGCCGACAGGCGGTTCGAATTATAAATTTCTAGGGAGAGTCTCGTGTGCAGGAATCCCTTCTTTCGTTTCTTCCGCATCTGATTCCATTTTATCGGAAACTTCAAAAGAACCGCCCTCACCCTCAAAGATGACCATCCGGTTCTTCAAAATTCTATAAAAAATAGGCGAATTGGATGATCGATATAAAAAGTTATTTTTCTACAATTATATTGATTTTTGAAGTCAGAGATTCATTTATAAAACATTTTGAATTTTCCTTTATTTCATTTTCTTACTATTTTTTTATTATAATTAAATTTTTTAAATCAATTAAATTGTATAGATATTAAAATTGATTAATTTTTAACAAAAAGATTAAAAAATAAAGACATTATAAATTAGCTTGATCTTTTGTGGGCACAATCTTTACAGAACGGCCTATCTTTTTTTATACTTCTATGTACGTTTCAAAAATTCTTATATGTTGAAAGAATGATTTTGTTAAAATATCTAAAAATTTAGGTGGAGACAGATCTAAAAATAATTTTGCTGGATCGTCAAAATAATTATGTAAAACACATGATGAGCAATAAAAAATACAAAAAATTTTGACATTCTAGTAATCACTTTGAGTGTCCTACATAATTATTTTAACAGTCAACATTCATTTTTGGATCTGTATTTAACTAAATTTTTAGATATTTTAGCAAAACTATTCCTTCAATGCAGAGTTCGAATTCAGGGTCGAAGGGCAAAAGCTAGGGCATAACCTTTTGGAACACTCTGTATAGTTTTCGCGGGGACTCCTAGAAGGATGTCAACGATTCGCCCTGTCAATCTCTGTGCGCGGCAAAGGCTGATGACGTGAGACTCCTTTTACGCATAGGTAGGAGACTACAAAGTGCACGCGTCAGGCCAGATGTCGGTGGAGCGGCCTGTCTTTATGGCTGTCAAGTTGCACGTAGACGAGACGCGACGGACGTGCCGCGAAAAGGAGCATCACGACGCGACGCCGCGAGCGGAAGGGTAAATGGAATCTAACGTCGGGACGCCCGTCGTCACCGTCGTATCGTTTATTTCCTCCTTGGCTCGCGCACCGATTGGTTAGCGTGAGAAAAAAAGAGCCAGCAAGAAGCAAAATAGGAATCTATCGCAAAAGTTGTGTAAGAAACGAAGAAAAAACTTTATGATTTACGCAAAATATTTATAATTTGTAATGTAAGTAATAATCTATCATTATATTTTAATATATTATTATATTTCTGTTTTATAACATAAATAAAAAAAGGAAGAAAATAATTTTTTTTTTAATAAAGAAATAATAAATTGAAATCCTTGGAATTTATTTATACTACTTTATATTGTATTATATTATATTTCTAATTATATTTCACAACACTTTATTGATCTTTAAAAATTTAGATTTTTGCGGTTCAAACCAAATTTTTGAAATCGTGATTTTTAGAATTCTTGGAATTTTAGACGGTGCAACTTGCTAATTCATCAATTTTCGAGAATCTTAATTTTCTCGATTTGAAATCTGAAATTCTCGAAATTTTAAATAATTTTACATGTTTAATGACAAACGTGACAAGGACAATTAATGGCAAGGCTGATCGCGACAAGAAAAAAAAAGAATGCAAAAGAGGATATGTAATACTTCTACGAATGTGGGTCACCAAAGAAGAGGAATGAATGGACACAGAGTCTCTGTTTACTAGCTCTGTTATTTCTACACTAAACTAGTAATACTGATTCACATCTGTGAATGCCACAATTACAGAATTGTAAGAGTGTCTGTCGTGATACATAGAAGAATACGGAGGAAAAAAAAGTTGCGTTTCAGAGTCTTCTGTATTTGTGTAACAAATAAACAAAAGTGCGAGAAAAACGACAAGAAGACTACGCCTTTCTTCGCGAAACTTCTGAAACTTCTCGCAAAGACGAGAGGAGGGAGGGAGATTCGAAACGTCGTGTGAACCGGATCTCTCGTCACCGCCAGCTGTCAAGCCGACTTGTCTTCTCTCATCTCTTATACAACTGTGATGTTTTCCCTACCGATATACCGTGCGAGACGCAACCGGCGACACTTTAAACAGTTTAAACTAATCAACGTCGACTCTGATACAATTCTTGGTAAAAAAAATTTGTATCAATGTCTTGCAAAAATAGTCAAATCAAACCGGTAGTTATCTTGGAAATTATAAAAGTATTAATTTTCAAAAAAAATTTTAAATTTAAATATTCTTCTTAATCTGAGAATATTAATTATTTGCAGCTGTGTAAGATTCTCATTAACATTATTAATATTCTTATAAAGATATTATTTGCATTAAAAATTATTAAATTGTTTGTCAATTTGATAAATAATTTATTTTACTACTCCGATCCTATACTCACAATTGTGTTTCAAGATTAAAAAAGATTTCGGGGCGCAGTTTGCAAAATCAAACGTATATATAAATTCACATAGAAATATTTAAGCACTAAGATCCACTTTGACCGAATATAGGAATTCTTTTTTTAATTAGAATATTAATATATTAATAATATTTGAGATTATATTAACATAATAATTAATATATAAATTATTTTTATACATAGTCAAAGAATTGATGTATAATAATTTGTAACGAGAGTGGAGAATGTGAAGAGGAAGAAAGTAATTAATCGAGAACGCGGAAAAAAGGCGCGGAAAAAAGGCATAGTAACTGAGCTGGGTACATTTATGGGGACATGTTTTAGTGGATAGTATTCATTAGGGAAGTCCATCGCGCGTCATCGAGGTGTCGTAAAAAAAAGTTTATAAGAAAAAAAAGGTCTGCCGATCTACGCTCGTGGGAAGCCGCCGTTAAGTATGTATGTATCATTGATAATTCCGCAGCATTTCGCAAAGGAGTTCTTCTCTATTTAGTTTTTAGATCTCTTTCTGAGTTTATTTTATTTTATTTATGTTATTGTTTTAATTTTTCAGTTATCTTTTCCCAGACTTTAACGGACAGAGTAGTGCAAGAGGACCGATTTGAAAGGTTCTCTGTGAAAACAATCGTGCAATGTAATAAATACACGGCCTATGAGACGACAGTCGTTTGCCTTCAGCATAGAGACAGATTTCGGAGAAGGACGTGCGTTTCTTTTTTTTTCTCTTTTTTGTTCTGCTCATGAAAGATGATCGATGTGTAATATGGTCCGGTCGTCGAAGAGTCTCAAGAGGACGGGAACGATGTTGACGCACGGAGATAATGTGATGATTGGTTCGTCGCCGTATTATTTTCGCCACCCTAGAGAATCGGCAAAAGCGCAGGACGATCGCGTAATGTCGGAACAAAACGGTTAGTTTCTTTTTTTCTTCTCTTTGAAATCCTTCGATTGTATTACACATCCATTTACATGTCGAATGAATCTCCAATCGATATTTTTAAGCGAGATATTATAAGTTTCATGCAAAATCCAGTTTTGAAGTAAAAGCATTGTATTTTTTTCTAATCTCCTAGTTGTTTTGTAGGTTTTTGTGTCAGTTAATTAGAGCTGTTACTTTTGATAACTACAAAGATTCGAAAGAATTTTGAATTTTCGAACTTAACTTTCGAATCTTCGAAGTGTAAGATATTTTAAGGCTTTTTGAGTTTCAGAGTTATATTTTGAAGCTTCTTTAGGAGTTACTTTAAACTTTTAAAGTTCATAGTTGATTTCGAAGAATTAAATTCTTTCGAAACTTCGAATCTTCATAGTTGTCAAAAGTTAATAATTCTAATTTCTTTTATTCTCTAAGTTTTCTCCATAATTTTTCAGAGCATTGACTCGATCTGATAAAAATAATATTCTTCGATATTCTTCTTGGAGATTTCTTCGTTTATTATACGCATCTAGTTTACATCGTGCACTTGATATGAATACTAACTAATAATTTTCTATTGAATTATCTTAATTTCAGCGATACGTGAAAATATATACATGATATGTATATTTAATTAATCATTTTGATGCATATTGTATCAATTTAGTACATCATTCTTTAAATACGTTACTGAAATTAAAATAATTTAATAGAAAGTTACTAATTAATACACGTATTAAGTGCACTGTAAACTAGACCATTATATGCACATGAGATAATTTTTTGACCTTTTTAAATGATATATTTGATAAATTACTTGCTCATTGTTTTGCACAGCGGACGACAAGCCTTCGGTAATTTTAACAATTGCGTCATCCAAGGGAAGATGCAAATACTGCATTTACAGTATTATTGGGATACTGTTGGTCTTGTTGTGCATCATGATCAGTGGAATGCTGTTCCCATATCCTCTGCGTGCTTCATGTATTATTAAATGGTAATTACACTCTATGTACGCATCAACAGTTAACACACGAACGGTTTGTGAGAATTGTGCTGTAGAAAAACGGATAATACTTTGACAAAGTTGAGGAAGTTACTTCATAAGTTACTTTTTACATTACCTTATATGTGTTTGTTATAGAAATTCAGTACAAAAAGTAGTACAAAATTGAGCAAATAATATAACCAAAAATAAAATACTCGAACTTGTACTCAATTTCTAATAATAAAAGGTAACTTATAAGTAATTTACAAATTTATTTTTACAAACTAACTTTCCAAATCCTGTATTTTAACTAGATAACCACGCTTGTTATGTGTTCTTTTTAAATTCAGATAAGTTTTTTATGGAACTTTGAGTACCAAGACAGAATTTTCAATAAATACCAATGTTATAACTTCACACTCAACATTTAACTGCTACAACATTTAACTGTTATAATATGTATTATATTATATTTATAATTGAATGTGAAATTCTAACAATGATGTTATATTATGTTCAGTTGGTATTTACTGGATTTTCAAAAAGCTAAAATTCCGAAATTGTAAGAAATCATATATAGAAAAAAAAATTTCGTCATTTTTTCGCGAATAAATGCCACGCCATTCGCCAAAAGCTATTCATCGATTATCAAACACTTCGTCGCAACAAAATAACGAGCAAAACGTCGGTATTTTTATGAACAGGTTCAAGAGCTTTTTGAACGGATTTACATTCTGCCACAGCTGCCGTTATCGTTTTCTTTTTTCTCTGAGCGCCGAGAGATCGGATCCCTTTCATCCTACGGCAATAGCTAATGCGAATGATTGTCGCGTCGTTTTTACGAGGACTAGAGCTTTCGAAAAGTTTCTTTTGAAGCAACGTCCACGCCGCTCCTGCGTGGATACACGTTATATACACAGGGAAACTCAATATCGCCGGCGCGACGTGGAGCTCGTATATTTTACTTTGGCCGGGACGACACCGCCCGAAAAATAAACGATCCGCGCTTTTCCGACTTCACGAGAACGGACGGCGTCGTACCGGGGTAGCTCGCTATTTTATTACTTTCGGTCGCTTCGAGTATCTTTTAAAATTAACATCAAGGAGGTGGTACAAAAACTTTAGAACCGATACACTTCTTATATAAAAAAAAAATATATAGAGTATATCTCTAACCAAAGAAAGATGGATGCGTTTGAAAAGAAGAGCAGAAATAAATCGCAGTTTATAAATATTATCCTAAAACGCATTAGAAATTTAAGTGTAAAAGTATACAAAGATGAAACGATTCCTACGGAAATATTTTATTCAATTGAATTATTTAAATACTTTTTAAAGATAATTACTCTAGGAAGTTTGACGATCCGTGCGCGCATGTGATGCAAAAGTTCCGACGCCAGATAACGAATTGGTCTTCTTGGAACACTTGTCAACAGCGTGACGGCACTTGTCAGTATACGGTAAGAGTAATGTCTGATTTTTTTAAATGCAAATTAACTTTAATTTTTATCTAGCTCAAGCTACCTGTGGAGAGTAACATAATTAGAGCGACGCACAGGACATCGAAGTCGCTCGAGAGGATCGAGATCATCTTCGAGGAGATAAACAATACGTGTTTCGCTAAAGTAAACTTTTAATTAAACATAATAATTATTATACGATAAATAATGAAAACACAAACAATATTACAATATGCGTCGAAAACAATATGAGATATCTCATTAATTTCACATTAATGTTTATCCAGCGAGAAATGATTCATCGAATCAACATCGATATGATGATTTCGATGTCAATTAAATGTTGATTCGATGTCTAATTGACAGTCATTTCTCGTTGAGTAATGACGCATTCTTTATAAATTTGATATTAAAGAATGTATTAAATATTTTTCTTTAATAATTATATGTAAAACTTTAAAGTTTAACAATAAGATAGGAAACAAGATCGGTAGTTTGTCTCGGTAAGTCTAAAGGCTCAAGACGCTCGCACGGAATGCAAGAGATCCGGGTTCGACTCCCGGCCGAGGCAATATTTTTCGCAATAAGTTTATTACAGTTTTTTAAGATTAATATGGAGAATTTGGGAGGATTATTAATATTTCAGATCAATTGCGTTAATGCCGACAACCATCGGCACGTAATTTCTGAAATTAATTCATTTGTTTGAAAATATATAATATGTATTAGTTCTTAATACTCAGACCGTAGTGGCGCTTTGGATTTAAAGTAATCTTAAAGTTTAAATTGCCGAATGCTAGACTAACGAAAATATCATTTATATGTAGGCTGAATCTGTTTCAAGCAATTGGTTCATAATATTCGATTACGGGAGAAATTATTGCAATCTGCACAACTTGGTAGTGGGAGCTGATCTCGACAGACACGCGAAATTTCAGGAGCTAACCAATGATGCTACGTGCACGCAATTCAATATGGCAGTCTGTTGATGAAACAAGACACACCGATTTCTTGTGGTTTTTCAAAACTTACATGTGTAAATTTATTTCAAAATTTATGTATGAATTATATATTATATTGTTATATATTATACATATATAAAGTTTTTATATTATATATAAAGTACTTATATATTGTATAATTATATATATTAAAATATATATAATTGATATATAAATTGAGAAATAATCGTTAATTACATAGAAAATGAAAATATTTAAAAAATAAACTTAATATAAATATAATATATATACGTATATGAAAGTATATATGCATTATGTTTACGTTAATTCTTCAAAATTTATATATATTTTCATAACATTCCAACGAGAGCCGGAATAAGTTCGAAAAACCATAAGTTTTTTAATATTTATAATAAAAATTTATATTTATATTAATTTACAGAGTTTCTTATGTAAGTGTTACAAGATCATTTATATCATAAGTTTGTACTTCGATATATCCTTTCTTATAAAACAGTAGATACAATATATAACAGTAGAATTATATCTCGCTATAAATATTAAATATCGCTTACGTTAAACACAGAACTAATTATTATTATTATTATCCATTATTATGGAAAAAATAAGACATTACGTATCTTCTTTAAATATGTATTGTACATTTATCATTGAGAGGAATGTATATTTCTATTAACTGATCAGACAAAATCAGATTTTAAATAAATTGAGATCTAATTATACAAATAGTTAAAGCTTCAATTGTTGAAATAATTCGAACACAGAGAGAAATTTAAGTGAAAATAACATTCGTAAAGAGGAACGTTTATTTTATTTTACACTTCCGTAAAGTCAAATTGAAACAATTGAAACTGTTTGATTTTATTTATTTTCAGACTTGAATGATCAGAGCTATTTAGAATTTGATCTTGAAATTCATACTATTTAAACTGTGCTATTGAAAACAATTTATGGTTTTTAATAGCACAGTTCTTAGCTGTGCAAAGTGCGTCTCGACATAGAAATATACTTGAATCCCAACGATCAAATAATACAAGTCATATAAATTAATTTAATTAAAACGCCTACCTAACTAAAACACTAAAATATATATATATTGAAAATATTCATATCAAATTTAAAGTGATCTTGAGATCATTATTATCAAAAGAACATTATTTACAAAATCGCAAAATGTACATAAATTATTTAATAACCATATTTAATTATTTATGCTTTCCAAAGTAATTATTTTTCTCATGAACTTTTTTTCTCGGATTACTTTGTTATTAAAATCGTACTAATTATCGTACTAATATTTTACATTATAATAAATAAATATTCAACCCCAATTTTTAGCAATTATTATATAAACATTATTATTTTGCAATTATTAATCTTTTTTCGATTAATCCAGATGCTCACTCGATGTACCGGAATGGTGATAACAGTAGTTATATCCGGGTGAAACAAACGCTCGACATCTCCTGCCATTTCTCGTTATTCCCATACAAGGTATTTTCAGCATCGGAGTATTACTGAAAACATTCCTTAGCTATTTTACGATTTCCTCTTTTTTAAAATAATTTTTCTGACAACAATTATTTATTTACCTTCTACTTCGTGGCAAATCCATGTTATACCGAAAATGCTCAAACGACTTTCCTGTGTCGTTAAAATCATTTGTGTTATAATCGTTATGATCTGTGACATAATTATCTTGATACTGCCATGACGTTATGTTGTCGATAGAAGAATCACATTCTATCAGACCTTTTGTTAATGCAGACTGCAAGTGAATAATGTCCTCACGCTTCTTCCTCGACGGTTGATACGAACAAGAGAGCTCTTCATGCGCATTTAAATTACGTCCACCCCATGAAGCGACTGCCTCTAACAAGGCATTCAATTTTCCTGGACAAATTATCGGATGTTGTAATAATCATCAAACCATTTCTCTCGCTTAATTTCAATCTTAAATAGAAGAAATACCTCTGAAATTATTTATTTGCAAAACGCTGAGATTGTACAGTTTTCGCACTTTACTCATTAATCTTGTGTGTAACTGCATTTTTGGTACAGAATTAAAATTCGACGAAGATGTGTTGTCACGCGCAATTCCATTTGAATAACCTTTTTGTTGATGAATCAGCTTAATTAACTCCGTCTTCGCTTCCGGGACGTTTGGTCCGATTATACGTTGTATTCCCAGCATTAAAAAATGCACTGTGTTAAAGAAATAAACGGCAAACGTTAATGTAATATATCAAGTATTCGTATGCATTACACAATTACTCTCTCGTTTTCTATATTTTAGAAACATTTTATCACACGTTTTAATGTACTCACTTGCAGTAATCAAGAATATTAACACCGTTATAGATGTAAAATCTAAACAAGCTTCCGTGCCCTGTTTCAAGTAGGTTACGAGATTCGCTGGTATAACGCCCATGATAGTAGCTCTAGTTAAAAAAGGTGCTTGTAAAAACGCGGCGACTATCATCGCCACTAATAAATACATAATGTGTAAAAATATGCGATATGCTTTTTGCATTTGTTCACCTAAAAAAACAGAAACAATATATATTGCATTATTAATATATTCCAATTAACCTAATGTTTTTTTTTTCAAACAAAAGTTTTTAACTTAACATGATCATCATGTAATTAATTTAATAAAATTCTTTTTACACAATTATTAAATTAGATCGCTTTCTTATAAAACAAATATATCTTATATCATACCAGTATCGCCGATGTAATCAGTAATCCACCCCAATTTTTGATCTACTTCCGTGCGCATTGTATTAGTGAGATTCCAAATGTACTGGATGGTATCGTTAATTTGCGTGAGCATCTGCATCGTTTGCTCGTATTGGAGGATAGTTTCCTCATGTTGTTGTAACAAATAATTTGTGCTTTGTTCGATTTTTTCCCAGATTATTTGCGCTTGTTCTTGTATGGTAAACAAATCCTGTAATACCTCCTTATGATTTTCTCCACGTTCGATAGCCTGTTGCTCAAAATCTTTATGTGCCTTTTCTGAAGAACATTAAATATATTCAGAATTTCTACGTATAATAATACAAAAAACCATGTATAAAAAGTTTGGTTTACTAACCTAATTTGTTTTTTATTTCTTCCGTCATGACTGCAAGCTGAGCGTGGCCAGATCGTATTAACGCTTTTTCATTATACAACTCTCTTAGGTTTGTTGTTACAAGATTATGAGCTGTTGCCTGAGCATCCTTCAAATTTTCTTGTTGTGACAAAAGTAGCTTGTTTTTTTCAGTTAACGATAATAGAGCTTCCGTTGTTTGTTCTTCCAGACGATCTTGACCGTGCTATTTAATACAATTATAATGCCTCAATTAAAGAATAAATCAAGAAATATTGAAGAAATGTAATTACCTTCAAGGAATTCAATGCCTTGATTTGAGAATGCGCAGACTGCATCAGTTTGTTGACAGTTAATTCTGTAAGAGCACGAAATTGTGTATTTCGAGCTGCATAACAAATTGCCCTCGCTCTGTTACTTATTAAGTGATACGCATTCCACATATCAGCATCCATGTCGGTTGTACATTGCTTAAGAGACTAAAAAAAAAACAACCATATTTTGTACTTACACTAACTTATACAACAAAGTTACACAATTGTATTCTGTCACATGCACATATTTTCAAGACTTCACACTCTTTTTGGCACTATTCATTATTTATTATTTATGTTTCTAATTTTTTTAAATTGAAATCAAGCTTATTGCGATATTAAAATTTGCATGAATAGAACACTAGTACAACACAGTACAACATATGTGGCACTAGGCAACTGAAACCATAAGCTTTGAGGAGGTCCACTAAAGTAAAGGGAGGGGGAAGTGTGCAGGTTTGAACAGGCATGGAATTTACCCCCTCAAACTATGAAGGGTTCTGACATTCTGCAGTATAAGCGTATCCTGTTCTCGTACTAACAATGTAAGTACTCTTCTCATTAACAAAAATCGATAAATTTTAATAAACTCTTAGACATACGAGAGCATTAAACATTCATTAAAAGCCACAGAAATATAATAAATATAATAAAATACTCTCTCTATTGTATATATAATTCAATTATTCCTGTATAAATTTTATAAAACAATAGAATATAGAAGATATCGACTCGATAATCGACAAATCATAATGGAAATAACGAAACCCAGACAATATAAACATTATTTATCGTAACATTTGATATTTTTATGACATTGACGTCAAAATCGACAATAATATCTGTTTGCTATCTAGAAAGGTTTTTTTTTTTGTAAAGACGCTGTGTTTTATGAAGTACGTACCATTTCTTCAGTGCAGGGAAACATTTTCCTGCCTTCAACTGCTGATTGGCAGTTAAGGAGATTGACACCCAGTTTTGCTAGCTCTTCCTCTGTCATGTCAGAACATGAGGTTTTAATCTTTATGATGACCTTGTGCTGACAAGTCTCCAATGGGGAAGACACTTGAATATCCGTGAACTTGGAAGCCTCTTGAAGAAATTTCTCATCCTCTGTCATTGACTCATAAGGAATTGAGATCAGAGGCACACCATCAGCGACAAGGACATTCGAATCATCTGTTTTTTTACTCCACAGCCAATCCAGCATAGATGTGTTACCAATTTTACAATTAAATGACAAGATAAATGTTATCAAGAGAAGTCTACACTCCATTTTGCACCTGACTTATTGATCTGAAATAAGAAGCAAGAACAACTAATTGATTGATCTGAAATAAGAATCAAGAACAACTTAAACTGTTCCAAAATTTACTATCAATGCTAAAAATCTAATTCATATTAAAATCACTATAATTTTCAGTATTGACATTAAATTTTGAAATCTGAAGTTTTGCATTAACTCTTAATACACACGATTGGGTGATTTTCGTGTCCTGTACATTTTTTTTTTTCGAAAAACTAGAAGCACAAGTAAATAGAATATTTATATACAATTTTTTAAATACACAACCTCATACACACTTTCTAAAGATATTAAAGTATACGTAAGAATCACTTAATAATTCTTGTATATTTGTTAAAATAATGAAAATTAATGAATAATCCATCATGTGTACTAAGAGTATAAAAAAATCAATACTGAAATACATGATGATTACCTAAAAGTCCTAAAACTATCGACGAGCCTTGACAATAATCGAGATAAATAAATAATGCACGATCATCTGTTCTTGTTGAAGACTGATGTTACAAAACTGCACCACTAAAAATAGACAGTCGTCCGCTCCGGAACTGTTGTGTAGTTTCACTGACAACGCGCCAACGTGAAAATTGCGACAAGAGTTTCTCTCGGGATAAGCGAGCGATGGAGTATCTATCCGTTTCGCGAATTCAAACGCGATGACAAGTACTTTTCATGTGTTTCGTCCGTGTGCTTCAACGGTTGCGCCGTTCAAAATGCGCAAATGGCGATCAAGGACAAAGTCATCTGCGCGATTGTGTCCATCATATCGTTTTCCTCACTCTGACTTCTCGTCGTGAAACCATCGCGAGAGTTGCGCTCTATCCATTTCTATTCTACCGCGAAAGGAGATCGAAGGGATCTTCGAAGAATTTATGATGAAAACATTGGAAACTATCGTTGCGTTTCTGCACTTTTGAGATGAGGAACGCCGGAACGGGCCAATCGCGAGCGCGATAAAAAGTGTTCCACCATATTCCATCGAACTTTTGAAAGCGACCAATCGGTGCCATGACCATATGATGCGCGCGCGCTCATTGATCGTTCTGAATCAGGATTAGCAAGGAGTCGAGTCGAGAATTCACAAACTGTAAACTAAGTAATTTATTTTCCAACGCACAGTTATTTTGAAACACATACGCACTTGTATTATATACGACGATATCTTCGATGATATATTTTGTATATCAGTCGCCTCTTCATTTCTTCTCTGGCACAACCTCGCTGATGCCGTACATACCAGCTAACAAACGCCCGTGAGCTGGAGGTACCGGTTCCTTGGGTGGTAAATACGGTCCCTTCTCGCCCATATATACATATCTTTAGAATTTTTTTAAGAAAACTTATCGAAGAAAGTTACAAAGATGAGAACTGTTTCTTTTTTGTTATATTACAATATAATTATATTATTATTATTGTAATTGTAAAATATAATTATAATATAACTGTTAAAAAAGTATACTATTATAATGAAAACGTTGAACAAGTGACTTGTATTCATTTTCATTAATGTAAATTAACTATAATCTCGATTTGATTTACTATTTTTTTTCTAATTCTAAGTTAGAATTAGAAAGAGTAATAATTTTTAAAATTAGAAAAAAACAAAGAGTGAATTAAATCAAGATTAAAGTTAATCAGTTTTATCTACAATAAAATGAATTTATGACATGTTAATTTTTTTTAACTTATTTTTTATTCTTATCTAATATTTAAAACTAGAAAAAGATAAAAAATAAGTTAATCTAAGATTAGAATTAAACTGCATTTGTAAAACGAGCATTAGTTCTGAGAATTAGAAAAAGAATATATTAATCTATATTAATAGAATCAGGCATTAGCCTTGCATTATATTAACATTTAAAATATATATACAAAAAGGATACGGCAATCTCAAGATCCAATATGCACTCTGGGAAAGCTTGATCGGTTCCTCACATCCAGTGACGAATATTGGGCAAGGTGGAGGACCAGGTTGAACTCGAGGGTTCAACGTGACGTGCACTGGCGCTTTAGGTGTCACTACATGAATTCTCATCAGCTGAGCGATTAAGGGTTTAGTTTGTCTAAAAAAGAATAAAAAGAAAAAGAAATATATACTTCCGCGTTCACATTTATGAATCATATCTTCATTAAACCGAATACGATTGGGTTCTACGAACCTGCAAGGGCAAGGAAAGTATAGAGGCATATCAGCGGTGCTCGACGTCACTTTGTTTCCACTGTCTTTCACTATGCCATTTCCAGTCGCTTTTAATACCTTATCGGGTGCAGACGCCATAAAGCGATGTCCACGCGGACACTCGTATTCCACCCCGACAAATATTTTCACCACGAATTCCTTGCCTCCTTTCGATTTACGACCACGTATGGCGTTCATATTTTGGAAATTCTTGCCTCCTCGTGGGCAATAACCTCCGTGATCGCCCACTAGCGGCCACAGTGGATTTCGTTCTTTCTGATGCTCCAGTCTGTAATGGATATTTATTTTTCTTATACCTGTTTCCATTAATATAAATTAATTTTAATATCGATTCGACTCATTCTTCATGTTTTTTTAATCCCAGAAAAAGATGAAGAGAGAGTAAGTTAATTAAACTTAATCGATATTGGTAGAAACGAACATTAGAAAATTTTTCTGTAAAGATATATGTAGATAAAACTTTCTTCTCACCTAACAGTCACGTCCCATGGTAGTAAAAATGCGGAGGTAGGGAATACTCCGATTTGATGCTGCAATCCCAAATTGTGAGAGTAAAGACTACTCGGTCCAAGGCATACCAGAGACCAATTGGAGAATTGCGGCAGCAAGCCGGCCGGTGATTCAGTGTGTAACATTCCAGGTAGATATTCTGTCGTAGATGGTTGTCTAACCAAAGATTTGTCTGTAAAACGCATATATCAGTATAAATTTCTAATTAAATACTTGAATTCATCCCAAGCAGAATGATAAATTACAATAATGTTAGAATGAATCGTATGTTAAAATGAATCGTAATTAATTAAAAAAATGACTTTTAGTAATTATTTCAGAGCCATTTTGATGTTATTTTGATGTCACGATGACTTGTGTTCTGCTTGGGATACTTCTGTAGCGATGAAACACCTTTAGAGTTTTCTGCATCGCTGTCAATGACTTCTATAACAACTTTGTGCGAGTCACTCGGCGTCAGACTTGTTTTATTGCTTAATCTCGGAATATCTCCTTCTATCGGGTCGCTCGTTGCCGACGATTGACCACCGCTACCATAATCTGTATTTTCATCTGCAATATTTTTAGATATTATACACTCAATAAAAAAACGTCTTTTTATCAACGCTATTACTTGCCATTCAAAGTATCGGTTCCTAAACTACAAGCTTGCGTGTCTTGTGGTGTGGAAGATCCATTGCGACTGAAGGAATCATGATGTTTCGTTGCTGAAAATAACTGCGCTGCTCTAGATGAAGAAAAACAAGAAAGTAAATTAATATTATCGGGAAGAAATCTCTTACAACACGAATGTTGTACCTATAGTTATGTGTGCTGGGTTGAAACACGGGGAACTGTATGCTTTCTAGTTGTGCGCAACCGCATTGTTTCGCTAACATTTGAAAATAGTCGTGATTCGCCTGTCTCAGACTGAAGGGATCTTCTCTCGAGCCTTGGACCCTGCCGCAATTGCAAGCGCATACATATCTCACGCCACTGCAATGCTCTCTAACAGGTAATTCACTGCGGATGAAAATAAAGACAATTAATATAAAGCACATATGAATATGTAATAATTTATTATAAGAAAGCATGCCTGTCGTCCTCTCTGGGCTCAGTTTGTTCTCCACCTCCCGCACCTTCGCTACCTCCTCTGTGAATAGGATTCGTACAAGGATGACCGGTGAGTGATAACACTTCGCACATTTGTCGACCAGCTCGCCAATGCTTGTCACATTCAGCTTGTAATTTCTCATTAAATTCCTCGAACAATGGACCGCGGGCATGCATTTCAAAGACTGCCATTGCATGTGCTAATTTCGACTCGTGATACGCTCTAAAAAGTAAAAAAGTTTTTGGGACGTGATATAGCCATCGCAATCATCTCAAACAATTTTACCTTGTATAATGCTGCGGCAAGTTCTCTTGATATGCTTGTAAAGCTCTCGGAAGTACTTTGCTACATCGACTTTTACTAAATTTCACATCAGTATCTAATAAATTGTGAAGCGTCAACAGTTCTTTATCTGTTCCATAAATAAAGTAATCGAAAACTTTGTTTGCTACTTGGCAAAATATGTTTAAAGTAGGTATCTAAAAAGTGTCACTCAACTTTTATTTTATCGTAAAATATTGTTTTAATATTATTATTTAATAAATATTAATAATATAATATTTAATAAATATCATATTCAGTATTAACATAATATATATAGCATTAGATTAGCTATTTATTTTATAATTATGTACCTCAAAATGGGCCGGTATAGAGTGTCGGCTAACATTATCATCGAATCCTCTTGCAAAAGCCAAATTTATATGTTGTTGTATAAACGATCTAAACATGTGAGTCTCTGTAAATACAGAGATTTATATATATATATATAATTATGTTTTACTTATATATATTATATCATCACTCATTATTTCCACGTCCACTTATTTTATCATCATCAATTTACCAGTCTCGGTGTCATCCACTATGATAGGGTTTGAATCTAGATTACTGAGGCTTCTCAATGTTGTGCCATTGGAACTGGTTTTACAACTTTGTATTAACTTTCTCGCCATGTAACCCAACATATCCCTTGAGTCTGTATTTCCGGTATGCACATACACAAATTCTTGATTAGCTGGTATCGCAAACAAGGAATTTGAGCTATCAACAAAGAAAGTGATTTCAATGTTTAGTTGAATTTGTTTTAGGACATCTGATTTGATTGCACCAATATTAACTTTAAGCAAAGCTTAAAATACTTTCTCTCTCTATAAAGAGAGAGAAAGAGACAGAGAAAAAGTTTTAATCTCGCTTAAAGAGTCAAAATAATATTAGAGCAATTGGCCCTTAAAAAGACCATATATTAATTTTATACCTAATATTTGTAACAATCCTATTTTTCCTTAATACATGGTAAATTTGATCTTCCAGGGAATGCTCTAGTTTTTTAATATTAGCCTCATTATCTGGATTTTGAAATACTGCAGGGCAGGTTTCGAAATAAAATAATACCCGTGGTGAACAGGGTCTGGCATTCGAGATCCAATCTTTGGGTAGACTATGAATGCAGCTTAATACATCAGAAAGTTGGGGAGAAATCTTTTGCCTATTACAAATACATTGTAATTATTATTTCATTGGAAGAAAAATTAATTTCTAAATTTTATCATCTATATATTTTCTTAATATAAATCAAATATTTAATTTGATTGAAAACAAGTCTGATGCTAACCTGACTATGTCCATAGCACGAAATAAATGCACATAACTGTAGTCAAAGGTATGTGTTGGATGAGTAAGCACCATTATATGAGATATATGAAATAACACTAGGAGTGCTCTCGCATATTTATCTTTCATATGTGCCCAAATACTGAGAAAATCCTTGCAGTCCTGCTTCTCCGTGAACTTATCATATTCGGCCAGAAGCGTATGAGCATCCAGGAATCCTCTTAAATTCAGGCAAACTGTCTTCTCTTTAGGATTATAATATCCCTCAATTTCACACTGATAAAGGAAATATAAGTCAGGATATCATTTATTAGAAAGTCGTGAAGAGTAAAAGAAGATATCTCACTCCCGACTGCTGATCTATCTCTGGTTCATCCAGGAGACTCAACTGGAGTATAGAACTCAGCATATTTGTCTTGCATCCTTTTGCTCGATACTGAGATTTACCGAACACTGAGATAATTACTACCTTCTTGTCGGTCTGCAAAAAACTAAAAAAAAAAATAAGGAGATCAAAAAAGAACACCTTCAGGTAAATTTTAGAAGATTAATGATATCTGATATTGTGTGAAATTTCGATCTTAGAATTGCTTCAAAGAAATGTTTTTTGCTCTTTACACGTAATTCTGTACCTGTCCACATCACATGGGAGCTTGAATTTATGCGGACGCATCGTAAGTTGTAAGCTTGTTTACATTCAGAATCACAAATAGGTTAGGTTTCACTAGAAAGAAACCTGAGAGAGGACATGACGGCCTAAAATCTGTAATTGCAAAATGCTGCCGCGCCTCTGAAGAAGTGGATATTAACTATACAATAATATATTCTCTCTCAGGTTTTTCTCTGCCGATATAATTTCGTTAAGTTCATTTTCCAATGTCGCATATATTATACAAAAAATCTAATGTCGTTTTCATTTCATACACAAGTGAGCGTAATGATTATATTTTATCATAATATATTTAATACCTAACAATAAAATAAAACTGTGGAGTAGTATTGCTATATTAATATTTTAATTTAAAATTTTATTATAGAACTTTAATAAGTATATTTCTATACTTGCGCGGTGTTTAAATGATTCACAATTTATAATTGCTTATTATTTTATAAGTTTCGATTTTTCTTTCATATAATTTTTTCAATAGCTTTCATTTATTTATTCTAATTGGTTTTTAATTTTTGGAAAAAATATAATTTCTAGTCCGTATTCGAAACACTCTTTTTTGAAATTCTACAATATACGTAACATGAACTAAATATGTACTAAATACTAACATCGTAAAAGTGTTTGCCGAATAAGTACAGACTTCTCTATCTTTATAAAATGCACAGCCCAATTTCCGAAAAAGACTGAACTTTCTTGCGCGTAGCATTTATATATCACATTCGGAAGCTAGCGCGAACCAATAAGCATCCGCAGCGAGGCATCGCGCTCATTGGCTGGCATGCGAGTGGTGGGGTTCGCCGTTTGACAGCTCATATAAATAGCGCGTAATTTGCAATTTCAAGTCTTTGCGATTCGAGCAGGAGACGGGGGTATGTCCTGTCATTTTAACGTTGGAAAAGTTCGCCTGTCTTCGAATCGATCAACTTTTCTCCAGATTTTAATCTCTGCTAAATATAAAACGACGTTGGAAAAATTCGCAGTCCTGTCTTCGAATCAATTGTGACTTTTCATATAGACATTTCCTAATCTCTGACATTTTCTAATCTCTGCTGAATACAAAACAACGAGAAACGAAAGGATCGTTCATCGTTGGATTTCTTTACTAAGGTAATCAATAATTAACTTCGCCTTTACTTCTCGTAACAGTGTAAATATCGCGTATTGCAGAATCTAATATTAGTACACTGATTATTCGGTTGAAAATATGTGGCGTCGTGTCGTGTCATCGCGTCTCACGTCGCTTTTTACGCGTGAAGTTAACCGCACACGCGGAAACAACGCCACTTCCCCATTTCGATCACATTCACATTTCATTCGCGAAATACGACGGATAGGGGATGACACGACGAAACGGATTGGCTCTTAAACAACAAACGCGCGACCAAATATGATAATTAAAACCTATATAATATCTAAATATATAACTTGAATATATATTTACGATATTTAATTACCGCGTGACTATAGATAGTAATCGCATATTAATAATCCAAATTTTATTTAATTAAATTTAATCGTACTTAATATTGAACAGTTTATTAAGCAGACTACGGTTAAATTCGATTAAATAAAATTTGATAAAATAATCAAATCTGCAAATAATTACTATAAATGTATTTAATTGTTAAACAAATTTTTTTTCAGTGTACATGTTTCTTTTAAAAACTTAAATTGGTGTTATACATCAATCTACTTCGTATATTCTTAGATATCCTTCTTTTTTTTGGTCAGAGTTTTTAGCCAGAGGATACGTTAGCTTCCCCGTCGTTGGATTTTTACACGAAAAGAACGATTTTACTCAATATCTAAAAATTTATCTAGATATAGCATTCAGATAAATCCGAAAATTTTTAGATACTTGAGAAAAACTATTCTTTTCATATATATCTTCTGGGTACTGAGCCCTTTCACCACGTCAAAGTGTACCCGTGAGAGGGAAAATATCATCTGAAAAATGTAATATACAAGGGCTAAATCTTTTATTATGATGTCTAAGATATGATTAGAGTCAATGGCATGAGAGAGTTAGAGATTAATATAAAAGAGAAATATTTCTTTTACTACCGACAAATAATTGCAGTTACGTTTTTTTATACGGATCATATAACGAAAGGTGCATGAAAATAAAAAATTAATTAAATATTAATTACATGAACTATAGGTATTAATTATAAAAGCAGAAATTGCGTTATTTGCATAAGAGTATTTATATTAACGTAGTTTTTTTATAACGTAATACCGTTCGAAGAATAATTGAGTTATACTCAAGAGAGACAAAAATGTTACATTAAATAAAAATAATTATCGTCTGTAATTATTGCGAAATAGTAATAAATTCTATTTTTCCATCGCGATTTGATTCCAAATGAATGAACCGTACGAAATATCTGTTACATGATATATGATTATCGTCTCAATTCTTTTACGAATAATTAATCGTAGTAGCGAGCTAGTAGTATTGTATACTTTTAGTATTCAGTAAAATACAATGTTTCATACTATTTAACATTTGTCGTGATTACGTTTCAAAAAGAAATATGAAGAAGAGCGACACGTGACACGGCTACCTGCCTGTACGAGCTTCGATAATGGAATGATAACTTCGCATAAACATGACGCGTCGCCTGCCCGCCCTTCCGTGCCAAAACAATCCCCATTGCACGCCGATCATCTAACTGTCGAAATATTATTACAAAATCAGTAAAATAATTTAGTTGTTACATTTTTAAGATTCTTCGATAAATGTAGGCTTTATTGCATGATTTTTGCTTTATTTCTTGAATTCGTACGCACACAACTCATCTATATCTTAGATATTTAAAATTGCAGTTACAATAAGCGTTTAATTTGTAATAACTTTTTATTACACAAAACCCGCGCAGTATACGCAATATTTTTAACAAAAGATTGACGCATTTTAGCTTTTTGTTACTTTTGAATCATTAATTTCGTAAATTAATAAATCTAAATTTATGCATTGTAATTAATTTATGTAAATAAAATATTAAATATTAAATAAATTCTAGAAACTTATTTAAAATATTAAATATATTTAATAAGTAATAAGTTGAAAGTATAGTTATTTAAAATAATAAATACTAAATAACTCTTATATTTTAGAATGAAACATGAATGAATTCAGCAATTCAAATATTATAAAAGAATAGCAAGGCGTCAATTTTTTATTAAAAATATTGTGTACGCTGCACGGATTTTGTATAACATAAATATATATTTCCCGGGAAAAATGTTTTATATATAATTACATATAATTATATATAACTACATATGTACAAAATATATCCATATATGTATATATAATTTTTTTCCCGACTTATTATAAATTGATAATCACTTATTGTAACACAATTAAACTAAGATATTCATAAACTGCGTGAATGCATAAAGGATCTAAGAAATAAAGCAAAAACCGTGCAGTAAAGCTTACTGATCGGAGATTAAAAATATAAAGAATATATTATTTTACTTATTCGTAATATTCGTTATTATTTCGACAAAATTAGTCATTAGACGGTTGGCGCGCGGCCTTGGGAGGGGATGGTACGGGGTGGCACGGAGTGGCGCGTCATGTTTATGCGTAGTTATTGCGCGGTCATTCCATTCCTGAGGCTCGTACAGGTAGGTAGCTGTGCCGCGTGCCGTTCTTCACATTTCTTTTTGAAATATTATCACGGTAAATACATAATACGAATCGTCGCACTTTAACTTACCAAAAACTTATATAAAATATTTAATAAGAAAAAGTTAAAATATTTAATCAGAAAAAGTTTTTTTAATCTTTAACCCTTATGTTACCACCCAAAAAATGCCACACTAATGACCACCCGGGGTACCCAGATAGTGCGGCTGCCTAAATCTTATACCTGCAGAGGATTATAAAGGTTACTGTATACGAATTTATTATTGTACTTTGCTCGAAATATCTCTATGAAATATTAATAAATCAATATTCATCCAATACATAAATTTATTTTCAAGTTTACGACAGTTTTACCTCAAAATTTCTGCATGGGTACCCGGGTGGTAACATAAGGGTTAAAATTCAACAACTTTTATTTACATATGTAGGAGGTGCGAAATTAAAATTTTTTCGTTCAAGGACTCATTAAACTATCTCTCCTATGGATAGTTAGGTGACGGCACCTTTCTGTCCTGAGGATTTAGTACAGAGACGAACCACATCTGCTTTCGACGATACGATTTTATCGATAGTGTCAGAAAATGCATGTAGTCATGTAGTTCTCAAACTGTAAATGAATGTACTGGCGGTAGTGTACGAGCAATTTCGACGATAACAGGAAAAAGACACAGCCTCGTTCAGGTTTCTCTCTGATTTCAGATATGGATCTGGAAGCAGATAGCGTCAGATGGCGTCGAATTAAATATCCCTTCCCTTGTCCTTCCCTGGAGCATCTTAGGTTATTGTCATCACTGTATCAAGAAGATTGTTGCATGATTTAACAATAGTATACTGCAATTAACTTTATGTTCGCGATATGTCATCAACGATAGGATGCCGAATTCTCGCAAAATTAGGCAGGAGCGGATTGAGTGGCTTGCCATCGCGGATTATCGGCGCAGGAAGGTTTAGCAGTACCGCGGAAAATGCGGAATCTTCGAAGGATATCGCTGCGGCTCCACAGCCGGGAAAAATTCAAGCTGCACTGTTAAAAGACTTCTCTAGTCCTCTCGTAATAGAGAATCTGGAACCGCCTAAAAGAGCGCAGGAAAATGAAGTAGGCTGCTGCAATTAAACGTTATTTATATGATTATATCTTATAATATCTATGTAATTCTATTTAATATTATATACACACACACATATATATATATATATATATATATATATATATATATACATTTATATAATTTTAATGTTTTGTATTTAAATATCAATAATGTCGCAAATGTATATCTATAATATACTTAATTTTGTACTTAATTTTTTCTCTTATTTTTCAATATTTTATAGTTAAAAATATCAAGATTGTATATTGATGATGACTGTATGATTAATTTTTC